AAATAAATAAATAAAATTTAAAAAAACAAAAAACAATAAGTATAGCAGGCAGATAATGTGCTGCACTCCTGTAATTCCAGCATGCTGGAGGAAGATCAAAAGCCCAGGTCCCGCCTGGGCAATGTAACAACTTACCCAAACTTTGTCTCAATGTAAAAAGTGAAGAAGAGCTTGTGAATGTAACTCAGTGCTAGTGAGCTACACTAGCACTGCCCCCCAAAATTAGATATATTTTAGGGGTCTGTGATCACTAGGTTAATATCCAGCCTTCTATATTGAGACAGGTTCTAACTTGCTTGGTTTATTTTTTGTTGTTTTGTTTTTCGTAGAACCGGGAATTGAACTCAAGCCTTTGTGCTTGCCAGGCAAGTGCTTATTCTACTGAGCCATATCCTCTGCCCCATTCTAACTTGCTTGGGCTGACCTCAAATATGCAATCCTCCTGCCTCACCCTCCCCAGTGTGCACCACCACACCCAGCCAGACTTGGTCTGCTCTGTTCCCTGGCCAATTCATAGAGCTGTGTATAATCCACTGTAGGCCCTCAGATTAGCCTTGTCATGGTTTTTTGGTTTTTTTTTTTTTTTTTAGCCTTGTCTTTGATTTTCTATATTTTGGTACTCTGACCCCTCAGGTCCTGGCTATATACTGGAAAGACGTTCCTTCCTCAGGCTAACCAAATTCAAAAATCAGTAAACAACTGCCCTGAGACTGCGCCTTTCATGGGCAGACCACCCAGGCCTTAATCCACTCCCAACACACATCCTGGGCTCAGGCAGCACCATGGCAGCCTTCTGCACGCCCTTGGGACCTGTGGGTATAAACAGGTTCTTTCTCTGTGACAGCCATTTTTCTGTCTGCTTGTCTTACGGTTCCAGATTAAGACGAGCCCCGAAGCCAGGTGTGGTGGCGCACTCCTCAATTTCTAGCACTCAGGAGGGGGAGGCAGGAGGAGTTTAAGGCCAGCCTGGGCTACCTGGTCATTGCAAGGCCAACCTGAACTACTTAGCAAGATCCTGCCTCAAAAATCAAATCAAATCAAATCAAATCAGGGTCATGCAGTCTCAGGGGCTGAGGCAGGAGGATCACAGGTTTGAGCCTGAACAACTTAGCAACTTATTGAGACTATTTCTCAAAATATAAAATACAAAGAGCTGGGGATGGCGCTTAGTTTGTAGGGTCCTGAGTTAAATCCCAAGTACAGGGCTGGCCAAATAGCTCAGCGATTAAAGCTCCTGCAAGCAGGCACGGGGCCAAGGGTTTGAACCCTGGGCCTGCCATGCCACCCTGCCCCAGGGGCACACTGAGACGGCAATTGAGACCGGACGTGGTGGTGTGCTCGTGTAATCCCAGCTTGTGGGAAGCTGTGAACGGGCAGATCACTATGAATCCGATCTAGTAGTGAGACCCTGAACACCCTGTAGTCCCCTAAAATACAAAAAAAAAAAAAAATCCCAGTGTACCCCTTAACAAGGAATTGGGTGTCTGCACCTCCGCCCTCGCACCTGGGTGGGTTCAGCACAACAGCCACACCTAAGACGCTTCAGCCACCCCAGGACACACAGCCCAGCCTGCCAGCTCAGAAGCAGGAAGACAGCTGCAGGCTCAGGATATCGGGTCCTCTAACGCAGAAGCTCTGAGGGCCGGGGTAGCGTGAAGGATGCGGCAGGAGGCACTTCAGCTTCCCCCATATGAGTGACCCCGCAGTGGGGACTGGCAGCAGGAACCACAGCCCTTCTCGCCAACCAGAGGCAAACGTATTAGCGAAGCTCCCATTTATTGAGCACTTACTAAGTACTTCACTTATCTCCACAATCCCATTTGGTCCTCAGGAGCAGCTTCTAGGGTCAGAGACCAGGGCCGGAACCGCTCTGCCACACACGGGGCAAATGACTATTCTCGCTCTATGCCTCAGTTTCCTTATACTTCAAAGGGAGCATCAGGAAAAAGGAGCGACGCGGCAGCATCTTGCGGTGGGGACGGAGCGTTCCCGGGATGGTGTGTTTAAATCCCTCAGCGAGGAGCTGGGGCACGGAAATCACTGCAAGTCGTGCCAAGCCACGGAGGCTGTTTTCCTGGAGAAAGCAGCCCGAGGCTTCTGCCACAAACGGCCTGAACTAAGAGGACACAAGGAGGGGTTTCATGTGGCTCACGGTGTAAGAGATTCGGTCCATGGTTACCTGGCTGCAGGGCAGAAATAGGGAAGGCGTGGTAGAGCTCAGAGCACAGCAGTGGGGAAGTAGAGCAGGGAGCAGCGCTAGAGAGGACAGGCCGAGGGGTCAGGCACACCCAGCACGGGGCTCGCGCTCTCACCCTTGGGTTCCTGCGTTTCCGCGAGCGTGCCCCAGGGCCGCCTCCGGCTGCAGTTACCGCACATTGCCACCAGGTGGGTTCTGGAGCCCAGGTGGAGCCCCTCGATGTGTTAGCCGGGGACTTCTCAGAATTAAATCACCCACGGAGAGCAACTTAATCTTTGTCGAGGGAGACAGGCGTGAAAGGAGGAGCGAAGTTTGGGAAGGAGGGGGAACTCTGGATTGGACTTGCAAGTGAACGCTCCGGGTGACCTTTTCAGCCCAGGGCCAAAGGATCTTCAGAGTGAGTCCCTGGGCTCCGTGCGCCATCGCGCGCTCCCGAGGGTCTGCAGGTGTGCGTGCGGGTGTGCACAGGAGCACCGCCGGACGAGGGCGCACAGTGATGTCTGGAAGCGAGCCCCTCAGGGCTGGCGGGAGGCACAGCCCCGGCCTGCATAAGTGGAGCGCCCCCTGGCCCGCACAACTCCCACTGGCCAGGAGGTCCAGGAGAAGGGACAGCCAGGCCCTCGTCCCAATGCTCTGGGTATGGTCCTCAGAGCACCAAGCAATTCCAGGCACCGGTAGGGCACTGGGCGGTCCAGCCCAGCCTTTACGTAGGCACGAAAACAAAACACTAAATGGCCAGGGGTGGCCCTGCATGCTTATAGTCCCAGCACTTGGGAGGCTGAGGCAGGGGTGTCGCCACAAGTAGGAGCCCATCTTGGTTAGCACTGTGGCCCCCTCTTTGGGCTCTGACTTGAGCCGTGAAACAAACTGTTCCCCTGCAGAGGACACCGCGGCAATGTTTCAGCACCAGTAAGTGAGACAATCGTCCTCACCCCTTGCCAGCCTCTGAGCGACATCCGGATTTTTTTTTTCACGCCCTCAGGTGCGCACCCACTCAAACGCCGAAGGAGAAATGTTCCAAGTCATTTTTATTTTAGAATACAAGAGGTACAAATGTATTTACAGGTGTACATATACAATCAAATAATATATATCACAGTTTTGTAAATATCATTTAATAACTATGTACAAAGGTAAAGTGACCATTTTCTGGAAGTAGAACACATTTTCTGGAAAACTCTATACACTTTATACTTTTTAATTAATATTATAGTTTCTTCATCTTACAAAACGCCCAACGGGAACCCGGCCAA